GGTTTCTCCCTGCCCCCTTTACAGAGGGGAACTGGGTGGTTTCTTTTCAGCTGTGACCTTGGCCCCTGCTTAGAGGTGAAGTACTGAAACTTCAGACCAAGGGGAAGTCCTTCCAACAAAGTCTTACAGAATATAACTTAAATATCTAAGCGAGGCTTTTAGGTGTGTTCGCTAATTTCGTGTGGAGCACCAAGCAGGAATTTGGTGCTAAAATAAGCTTGGTCAGGCTGTGAAGTGGTTATGTAAGTCAGGGCTTAAGTCCTGGAGAGAAGATCTACACTCGGGTGAGCTGTGGAGCTGTAAAATGGCTGCCAGGACAGGCACAGCCATTTTCCTTTCCTTGTCAACATCAAACCAGGACGAGGATTGTGTCCTGCACAGCTCCAATCCAGGGAATCGCTGCCTCTATTTCCCACAGTTTTCCACTTCTAACAACATCTTGCTGCGTACACAACCAGAGCTTTGTGCCAGGAGTTTTGTCGTGTGTTACGCTCAAGGTCTTGAAGTGGTTGCTTTGTACCTTGAAGGTACTTTTATATTCTCTCTGTTGGGGTAAAAAAAACAGGAATAGGTTGCCCAGGGAGGCTGTGGCTGCCCCAACCCTGGCAGTGTTCATTCCAGGTTGGATGAAGCCTTGAGCAGCCTGATCTAGTGAGGAGATGTCTCTGCTCAGGGGCGGGGTTGGGGCTGGATGATCTCTAAGCTCCATTCCACCCCCTAAATTCTCTGATTCTCTGATCCCAGCCATAGAATTGCAGAATAAAACGACTCAGTTTGTACTGATCTGGAGGGCAGATGATTGTTTTGCATCATTTATCCTGCATTTAGCATAGATTGAAGTTAAAACAGCTTAGAAATTCTGTTTGGAAGGGAAAATAAAGTATTAGGTTCTATCTTTTACAGAAGGAGTGTGTGATTACTCAGAGGGTATTAGGTTTGGGTGGACTTTAAACTTACCTCTTCAGAATTCCACGCAGAACTACTTGTGGTTTAAACGGAATCCTTTTTTCCATATAATTTCATGTCTTAATTTTCTGTCTGACTGCAGGAGAGGAAATTACAAGATGAAATTGGCAGGTACAGAACAGGCTGATAAACTGGCTGAGGGTTGTTGGTGTGTGTCACTAAGCCTTGAACTTTTTGCCTGTGCGTCATCATGTTTGTTGTTGCTGTGCAAATGACTTGATGGCAGTAAATGATTAACTTCCCCCTCCCCACCCAAACAGGGACAGAGACTGGGCACTGCAGAACAGCAGTGAAGGCAGAACCAGCTTCTGAGGGAACCTGCAAGCAGAAAACAGTGCTTGGGAAGACAGAGGATATGACAGGTTTCATGGATGACTTAACCCTCAGCTCACCCAAGAAGAGAGAGTCATCTGTGAGATCCAAGAGAAGTTGTGACAGGTCATCCACAAGGTCATCCAGCAGATCCTCGTGCAGCTCACGCTCCAGTTCCAGCACTTCCTCTTCGGCTTCCTCCAGGAGCTGGAGCCGCTCCAGGTCCAGGTCAAGGTCATGGGCTAAGAGAAATGGTTCCCGAAGGTACAGGAGGTACTCCAGATCCTACTCCAGGAGCAGATCCAGGTCCCGTGGCTACAGGAGGTACCGGGGCAGGTACTACTCCAGGCACTACAGGAGGTACCACCGCTCGCCCCCGCGGTACCGATCCCGCAGCAGGTCCTGGTCCCGTGGCAGATCCTACTACAGAAGGTCCTACTCGAGGAGCAGATCACGTTCCAGAGGCCGAAGATACTATGGATTTGGGAGAACCATCTATCCTGAGGCTTACAGGAGCTGGAGAAGCAGGTCACGGACAAGATCTCGGAGCAGGTCACCTCTGCATCTGAGTGAGAAAGGTACTGGTGGTGATAGTTCAGTGTGTGAGAACCTCAAACCACACAATCAGTCAAATTCTCCCTTGTTAACTTCCTTTGTAGAGCACAAAAATAATGTTTCAGAGCATATTCTTTGCACCTGAACTGGGTAAATTTCCCAAGTTCTGATGGAATTCATCCCAGTTGATGCTTACATAGGTGCAGCTTTTAGACTTGCACAACTAGATACATGTGGGTTTAAACATAATACAGCACAATCTTTTCTTCTTCCTCTTTTAGACAAGAGGGAACTGCTGGAAATTGCAAAAGCCAATGCTGCCAAAGCTCTGGGAACAGACAACATTGTCCTGCCAGCGAGCTTGAAGATTGCTGCTCCTGCCAAAGACATAAAAAGTGAAAAACAGGAGCGTGAAGAGCCTGGAGAGTCAGCTGAGGTAAGTATGGACTGCAGTAGTCTCACTGACAAGGTAAACACTTGTTAAAAGTTGTCTGCATGGATGTGTTGTAGCTTAACTGTGGAGTTTGTGGGTATGAAGTCAAACTCCTGGACAAAAACTGCTCTAGAAAGCTCTGGAGTTTGCCTTAAGCTGGAAGCACAATGGACCTGTGAGAGGTGGTTGACCCACTGAACACGTGCAGGTTGTGCAGTAGTGACAGGTGGGGAAGGAGAGAAAACTGAGCTCGTTCTTTTCATGGGACGTTGCCCATTAAATCAACTCATTTATGCTCTCCTGGCCTAAAACCAGGACTCTCCTTCCCAAACCTAGTGAATAGTATGGGTTGTTTTTTTTCTTTTTGGTTTTTTTTGAGGTTAAATCTTTCTGCCTTTTTTTAAACTGTTAAAAGCTTTTCCTATGCGACAAAACTTGTTTCCCAGCAATTCCATACCCAAACACACAATGCATTTTACATACTTTATTTCTGTCTTATAGAAATCATGACTATGGTTCCAGACATGATGAAGAAAATCTGGTGGTAATTAAGGGACTTGTGGGCTGTAGCTGCTGTGAATTGAAGGGAGGGAGAAACTCGAGCAGCTTAAAGTGATGAATTTTAGTTTGGTTGTGTTGTAGTATGTTGACCTGAGTCTTGGTAAATACAAACCTGCAGTAACTTGTGCATCAATCAGATACTGTTACAAGTGGAAGTAACTTTGCTAAGGGTTTTACACAAATGGTACAGGCATCCCTTTCATAAATATATGCAATATATTCCAGATGTTGAGAGAGTACAGAAGAAGAGGCCTGCATCACTTGCAGATAAGTTTATTGTCATTATCCAAAGCTCTGCAGGATGGTCATGCAGAATTTAATGCCACTTGCTCTGTCACTGCACTTGTGTGACAGTTTGTGCTGTGACTGTTTGAATCCTTGTTAAACTGTAACTGGGGCGTGGATGTCACGTCCATTCACACCTGAATTGGCACAACCACCTGGTCAAAAATCCTCAATGCCTTTCCAGTTGGGTCCAGCATTGCTCTGTTGGCTTATCCAGTAGCTTCACAGCTACTTTGGATGTAAATATATGAAACGACTCTACCAGAAAAGTTCATGCTCTGTAGTAACTGCCTGAACTTGCACGAGTGACTTGTTCTCCCACTTAAGCTGTGTGTGCTCTTCTCTAGCAACCTGGAAGTGCAGCAGAAGACATGACCAAGAGTGGAATGGAGAGAACAACCATACAGAGGAGCATTTCCTTCAGTCCTAACGTAAGTGATTTCCCAAGATGGAATTCCAGTGCTTCAACCCTCCAGTCTTAAGCTTTTCCAGCATTGGTTGCCAAATTAAAGATGATGTAATGGTTTGATAAGGACTTTGTTGCAGGATAAGTAGTGGAGCAGCAGAGCCCTGTGAACACCACAGCAGTGTGTTTAAAAGAGGTTCAGCACTGAACATCTGAGCTCTAAATAGACTTGGAAGGGCTAGAACTAGTTTAAGCTGAAACTTGAGTAACTTGAAGCTGAAACTTAGCAACTTTAAGCCAGGCTTAGCAGCTGCAAATAAGAGCTAGTTTAAAGCAGAACCTATATCAAGTTACAAGTTTTAGTAATACCACTTAGGGGAAAGCAGTTTCCTGAATCCTGTGTCAGCTGAATATTTGTAGCTGATTCCCATTAGGCATCAGGTATTGCAGGAGCTAGAGGGAAAACATTTATAATCAGTAGAGATAAACCCCTGGAAGTGTGACAGGTTTTAGTACCTTTATCCCTGGAGTAGCATTTTTAAAGGCATCTCTTTCTTTTCCAGAACACAATGGCAAAGCCAGCCCTGCAGAAGCCAGTGAGTCATGTTGTTAAGGAACCAGTAGTTTCTCCAGCAAGAGAAGATGACAGGAAGGGAAGTCCCTATGGGCAGTGGGTTCCTGTCAAGAAGGTGGAGAAGAAAACATTCCTGAATTTCTCACCCAAGAGCTCACTGTTCCGGGCACGCTAGTAGGATCCTCTTGCTGTCTGCCTGCAGCATTTCACCCACTTCAGTAGAGAGATGGGAAACTTTCTGTTGAGGTTGAAGATTATTTGTTAATACTGAGTATTTATTTTGAGATGTTAATTTTTGGAATCTTAGGTTTCTCTTTCAGACAGAGAGCACACAGATCCAGAAGCCACAGGTGGGAAATCTTATGTACAGTTGTAAATATTTTGTATTGCTTTATTGGACTAGAACTTGCAGGTGGGTAACTTTTTCTAAACAATAGCTGAGTAGCTGTTCTTTGGACACTTGGATTTACATTGTGTAACTGTTTACTTCAAGTGAATAAACTTTAGTTTTGCACTGGCTTAATGTGTCAAGTGTTAGACCTGTGTTCTATGTCCTGTAGGTGGTTACTTCTAGGTTTAGCTCTCACTCACTGTTCTCACAAGGTGCAGCAGAAGGTTGCATCATTCTGAAGTGGATCTTTATGCTGGAATAGTTCCTGCCTCAGAGCACCTTTCCTTGGATTACCTCTCTGGAAGTGAAAAGCTTGTGTAGGATGTCTGTGTCACTGCCATAGGTGAAGGCACCACCATTCCCACTGTCACATGTTGCACCTTGTCCCTTCTGCTCCTTCTGATGCTGAACTTGAGTTACTACAGACTTGTGTTTCACTTAGTTTGCTCTAAAAACAGCCCCTAAAGGGTCACTAAGGCAGTGAGGGGAAGGGGCAGTAGTGGAGGAAGGTTCAGGCCATGAGACCTCTAACAGTTCACAGCTCACTGAGACTTCTGCTCTGGGGAGAGGAGGGGGAAGTCACCAGGCTGTTGCATGGACTTGGAGCAATTGGTTAAACTTGGGTTTTGTACAAATAAATTACTAATAAAATAAACTGAATTTGACTACTCCTGTCTGGATTCTTTAAGGAACTATTAACTGGCCAAGCTGAGGTTGGCAAATACACTAAGGATCATGTGTTTATCTGTTCCCCCTAGGTAGGGAGGGGCAGCTGTGCTGCCAGGAACTAGCATGTGACAGCTGGGAGAGCTGCTGAGTCCTGGCAATGTCACATTCCTCACCTGTTTTATCCTGTTGATCAACAACTTGAGCTACTGCAGAACAAACACTCTTAAATTAGTCTAAAATTGATCTTTATTTAGATGAGACTGCACAAATTGGTAACTCCTGCAAGTAAAAGCTTTGTACAGCTGAAGTTAAGCAAATTACTTCCAGTACATTAAACACACTATTGATTTTAGAAAATAATGAAGTCTACAATGGAATATGGCTGCAAAAAAAGAATCCCGAGGCTGAGCAGGCACAGGGAGGGCTCAGACAGCTGTTCCTCTCTCCAGGTTCTGTTTGATCTCTGCTGTGTACTTCCCATAGAACCTCTCTGCCTTTTGGTTGAACTTGGCATTCCTCTCGTTGATGTAGTCGATGTCGGCGTCGTCGTTGTACGGTCGCCGCCGACTGTACTTCTCGCGCTTCTCGATCCTGCAAGGCAAGGGCAGCGATGGGAGACCTGTGGATTCCAGGACCTGCTCCCTGGCACACCCTTTGTCTTAGGAGTTACTTACTGCTTCTCAAGATCTGCCACCATTCTGTCAACCCCTTCCTTAGATGGCACGTGGGTCCCGTGGAGGAGGCTGTCGGAGGTGGGATAAAGTGCTTCCCCGCTGGATGAGAGCAAGAGGGGCAGCAGTTACACAACCAGCTTTGAGATTTCAGACAATCCCAGAAGGGTTTGGGATGGAAAGACCTGATAGTTCATCTCATTCCACCCCCTGCCACACACAGGGACACCTCCCACTAGCCCAGGTTGCTCCAAGCCCTGTCCAACCTGGGCTGGAACACTCCCAGGGATGGAGCAGCCACAGCTTCTCTGGGCAACCTGTGTCAGTGCCTCAGCACCCTCACAGGGGAGAATTCCTTCCCAATATCTAACCTAAATTTCCTCTCAGTCTGAACCCATTCCCCCTTGCTCTGTCACTATATGCCCTTGTGATTTCACTCCTTTCGCTTGTGTTTCATTGTCACACTTCACTCAACTGTGGCAATCCCACATTCAGGTGAGAACATGATGCTCAAAACAAGCTCTCAGGTATTTTGAGAAGAGACCAGCAGGTGCTTATGAAAGATACAGAAACCCACAGAAATGCTAAACCTGTCTGAATGCACACTTGCAAAGTTGGTCAGTCTGTTCTTAAACCAAGCTGGGCTGCTTAAAAAACTCAAACCTGCCCCAAGAAATGAGTCATTATGCACTGAAATATACACACAGACTCAAGCTCTGCCAGGGGAGGGTTAGGTTGGATATCAGGAAGAGATTTTTTACAGAGAGAGTGCTCAGGCATTGGAATGTGCTGCCCAGGGAGGTGGTGGATTCACCATCCCTGGAGGTTTTCAAGCTGAGACTGGATGTGGCATTTAGTGCCATGGTCTAGTAACCATATGATGATCTTTGAGGTGTCTTCAAACCTGGTTGATTCTATGATTCTATGAAATATGACCTAATTGACTAAATATTTCTTTAAACTCAGTAACACCCAGTTTGAAGAAATGAACCTCATCAATTACACCTCTTCCACTCACCCCCTGAA